TTAAAAGTGAGTAAACTTTTTAAAATGCTCATCATAGTATTGGTTTGAACTTTGCTATAAAGTCATTGTCAGTAAAGATAACTAAATTTTTTTTATATTTTTGAATAATTTTTTTGGTAGAAATGGAAATTATTTTGCACTACGTGCAAAATAACCACAACTGTCTTTAATCATTTAAAAACAACACTATTTTTTTAAAAGACTTGTAGCTAAAATTTTATATAAACAGAGTTATTATGTATATATTAACATATATAACTATGATGAAATAAATATGACTGACAACGTCATCCTAAAAAAATGCTTGGTAAAAAGAGGTGAACAACAACCCACAAATATAAGAAACACTTCTAAAATAATTATTTCCAATTTGATATCAGGTAATGCAGCAGGTAAAATTCTACCTCTTTTTGTTGTTTATAAAGCAAATAATTTGTGTTCAACTTGGTATGTAGCAGGTTTTTAAGGAGTCTGATCCCAGCAAACATTGTTTTAGTGGACTTATATATACAATTTTGAACGGTTTATTGGAGTTTTACTTATCTGTTACTTAGTGGACCATTAATGGCCACTTTATGGCACATATATAACTTGACTTCTAGATGTAGCTTTCTTTAAACCTCACAAATCAACATGGAATAATCACAGAATACAAAGACTCTTAACAAAAAACAATTTCCAGAACTTTTAAATATGTTATTGATTGCTTGAGAGCCAAATCAGACTTACAATTTACAATCAGATTTATAAAATATGATGTTTATCCAATGTCAATGAACTTTTAACAGAATTAAGAGAAAGGGAATTATATGATATAGAAGTTCTAGAAAACTTTCTTTTCCAACAGGTAAAAGTATTAGCATTGAAAAGTTAGCATAAATTAATGAGATTTATGATTTTGTTTCAAAGAACCATAATTAGAAAAATTATTAAGGTTCTTTGTTACAATACAGTTTCCATATGCATTTTACATCAACACAAGATGCAAAGTGCATCCAAAATATAAAATGCATAAATTCTTAAGACATTATCTTTTAGCATGTACTTAACCAAGAGCCAGAAGCAGGAATTTTGAGTAAAAATAAACTTTTTTTTTATAAAGCAAATTTTTCAGTACAGCAAGGCATGAGGCATGTTGCACTGGATTAAATGTTATTAGTAGCAAGTGATGATCTTGATCAACAAATTGGATTAAGTCAAAGTTTCTATTTGACAAAGAATAATGAGACTTTTATGACCACAGTTCTAGCTTGAAATAATGAATCAACATTGAAAATAAACTAGATAAAGAAACCAATCTTAGAAAGTCGTATTTTAGTAATGATTTTAAAATTCAATTCAGTACATAAAACTTTTTTAATTATTGTGTAAAGTTAGCTAAACACCTGTTTAAGTATTTTGAAAAAATTTTTCTTTTATATAAAAAATAAAAAAACTGTTTAATGTAGTTTTAGGATAGTTACCCTAAAATGATTTTGTTGACCAAGTAGTACTTACAAATGTAAACATAAGCCTTCACTCAGTCAAACCAATTTAATGATTAGCTTGAGGTGCTGTTTTCATTTATCTGAACAATTATATACGAATCAATAATTTTATGTTTTTAGGGGATGTTCATTATTTATGTCAACAGTGTCAGGGCCAACAACATTGATGGAAACAGGTGCACATCAGTGTTGTCGGTAAACATGGTACTGGCCTACCTTTCCTCTCCACTTTTCAACAACTTATCAAACTTTTAGAGACTCCCCCAATAAAATTACATCAAAATAACTTTTTCTTTCTAAGTGATTAAGTTTATTAAATAAATTATCATTGTTAATGTCAAGTTTTTTTATTCTTCTTTCCTCTCCTTTGTCAACAATTGCCAAACAATTTCAGACCTCCCCTTCCTCTATTATGTTGACTAAATTAATGGGCACCCCCTTAGCAGAGCACTGACTTCTTCAAGCCTTTTGCACCAGCGCTTTAAAGTCTAGCAAACATTCGGTCTATAAAAACAATTTTAATACGTTTTTTATACGCTTTTTTAGACCAAATGCTTGCGGGGATATTACTTATCTGATGTTTTTATGACGTTAGAAATTCTAATTAAAAAAGTCTAATAGTTACAAATCAAGTATCACATTTGATAAAAAGATATTGTTCAAACAATGTTAAATGTCGAGCAAATTCGCTAGACTCTTTACCCAAAATAATTTTAAAAATTAAAATTTCCAAAGGGCATTAGTATTTAAGCTTCACGCAAATATATTTTTAAAAATGTAATAAAAGTAATATTCAATGTAAAAATTACTTAATTTTTTTTATCAATTCTTAATAAAATAAATAAATGACAAAATTAAAAAACTAATGCTTAAAAATTTTAAGTTTTTTAAGCGTTAACGCTTAATAAACTTCAAATTTTTTAATTTATTTATTTTATAAAGAATCGATGAAAAAAAAAAAAAATTAAGTAATTTTTACAGGTAAATAAACGGTAATCTTGCGCATTTCAATATATTTGAAACTTTTGCTAAATATATAGAAATGCTCGAGATTACAGTTTATTTACCGGTATGCCAGTGAATTACCGTTTTCTCACCTTTTTTGATGTGCTTAAATCGTTTTGTAAACGTTTATCGTGGCGGCGTTTCGGAAATACAATCTCAGCATCACACTCTTGCAATGCTAATAAATAAAAATTAGGTTTTTTATACAATTTGTTGTGTAAATAAGTATAAAAAATTAAAAAGAACAATATTTAATGAGAAGCTGCACATTTTTTGTCTGCGAGTTTGCGTAAATGTAAGTTTACGTTAAATTTGTATTTATGTTTATTAAAACGTTGGTCCAATGTATGTGTGTTAGCTGGGATGAATTACTAAACAGTACACTTATGTGAAGTAATGATAAACCGTTAGAGTTCTAGCTTTAGAAATAGAGGTTGGTATTTCAACGCCCTGGCCATACACATGCATAATTGGTAAGAAAAGAGTCGTTAACCTATAAGCAAGGCGTAAGACCTGGTTAAATGTTATATCGTGGTACTCTGTGGTAAGACCGTTATGACTTCTTGGTACACCTAAATAACTAATAACAAAAAATAATTGTAATAGTATATATAACATTCCCAGCCTACCCCTGTACTCACAAATATCCTCAAAAAAAATACTCTTGACTTTAGTCTAAACAATAAATCACATCGATCAATCAACGAAGCCAGACATCTAGACTAATTAAAAGAAGCCAGTCATCTTGGCTAAAGGACAGGCACACTATTTCATTAAGGGAAGTATAGCTTTCTCAACTAAGAAACTAGCAAAACAAAAACTACATGGCTCTAACCTCTCAATGAAACGTTTGATATGGAGCAAATCCGATTAGGACTCTCTACGCACATTGCAACGCTCGACAGGAATACAGCTCTTAATGGATTAACAATTTCTGACAAATATCAACTGTCCATCAAAAAATATAACAAAGTAACATTGCTATACGTCCCTTAAATGACCATTTATTACATAGAGCAAATTTATTGCAGCTTGTAAAACAAATAAGCCAATTTTAAGTAAACAACACAAAAATGCAAGTAAAATAGTAAAAAAGTCAAAACTGCAGTTTTCATTTATGAGAAAAAAACTGATAACAAATAGCAGGCAAGGCTCAAAAGTTATCCAATTATGCGTCAAGAGCAAGTCAAAACACACGAACGCATTTGTTAACTTGAAACAACAAAAAAAACCAAACAACAAATGACCCTAAAGAAACATGCAACACACTAAATCATTATTTTTAACCAGTCTTCGAAACTGAGCCGATTAGACTTCTCCCGATATTCAACCCTCGCTCCACTAACATTACACCAACTAAATCTTATACAAGTCACACATCATAAAAATCTCTCAAAGGAAAACTTTCGTATCTAATCAAAACAAAATCAATGGGATTTGATAGCGTTTACCCACGCGTTCATAATTATTGTGCGTTAAGCTTTGCTATTTCACTCAGCATCTTATTTTCTGAGTCGCTTGGGATCAATGAAGTACTGTCTCAATAAAAGAAATCTGTAATCACTCCCATCTTTAAAAGGCTGTAAGTCAAACCCTTAAAATTACCGACCTATCTCACGCACTTCTGTCTCGTGCAAGTTAATGTAAAATCTTATACAAGAACACATCACTGATCATCTGCCTCACTAATTTGCCTCACTAATCGATTTGAAACTCGCAACATCCGCACAAAAGCTCCTCACAAGGGTTACCTAACCGACATCATATTTAGGGGTTTGTAAAAGCATTCGGCAAAGTTCCGCACCCTCGTCTACTGAACGCTACTATTTTTCATCTACATAAATGATCTACTTGACATAATACTACACTATTTCAAATGCTAAAGACTATTTTTAGATTAAAAAAAAGTTCAATTAAATATTTAGAACTTTCAAATAAAATAAAATAAAATAAAAAAAAATTTAAAAGTAAAATTTAGTTTTAGTAAACTAAAAAAACGTGTAAGAAATAAAGATCAAGGTTCTCATTTTAAAATTGATTTTGCAAGTTCCAGAAAAAATTTATGAACAGAAAACTAAAGAATTGTTTATTGGGGTAAGAATAACTATGTAATTACTTACAATTATTTTATCAGTCAAAGGCTATCTTTTTATCAGTCAAAGGCTATCTAATAATGACCTTTGTTATCAATGGTACCTTTGGTATCAATGATTGCCTTTGCTATTAGTGTTAATATTTGTATTTTAAAACACAAAAAAACTTTTAAATGACGAAATCCATTTGTTTGAAACTCAAATGCTTATTATTAAATACTAAGGGATCGGAAAAAAAGTTCGAGATATCGATAGCCAGAGATATCAAGAAAGAGGTTAAAAATAAGTAAAATTGCCCGACTTTCATTAAAAAACAATTTATTTTTATGATAAAAATAATTATCAACTAAAATCTGTTATGTGATATCGCTTTTTATCCGTCTTTTCCATATTCAATAAATCGTCAATTTTTAGGGCTAGGGACTTTATTTATGTTTCCGTATTTTGAGCTGTATAGCAAAGCATTTTGAAGCGTTTTAAAAGCATTTTTTAACTGAACATGAGATGGGCGTAACGGGGCTTCGACGTCAATACCTTTGTCAACGCTACCTTCAACTTCATTTTCGTCATTTTCAAAAGTAGGGTCTAAAATCTGAGCAATGATTTCAGCATCAGTAGCTTATGAAACGGTGGTTGATGCATCTCAATCTAAACTAATGCAAGATTCAACTGAGAAATCTTTTTGGACAGCTCCATGACCAAACTCTCGCAAACGGTCAAATTCTTCTGTCAAAGAAAAGGATGATTTTTTAAAGCAGTTGATGATGATAGATGTGGGTTAGGGGGAAGAAATATAAAGTTGATGTTGCTCAGCCCTTCAATTTTTGGATGAGTAGTACTATCATCTCTAAGAAGTGCTATATTTCTATCCAGAACACGAAAAGAGTAAAGGTTTTTTTCCTATTCTGTAAAAAGGTCTCTGGTAATCCAACTTTTTTGCTGATTTTTATATGTGCAAGGAAATTGTTTATTGTGGTTAAAACATCGTGGGGTTTTAGATTTTTTAAAAACAAAAATAAAAAATTTTTCTCCTGTTGTACTCCCTGCTGCCCTTCCTTTTACTATTTTTCCCCCAAAACATTTTTCTCGTGATAAATGTTTTGTTTGGTAGGCACTGATAAAATAATACAAACTCATCGACATTGAAAATGTTTTTAAGTTTGTAATTCGAAAAGCAATTGGAAGTGTATTTTCGTTCCATTTTAATGCCTTGCATTTTTCATTTATAGATTTATGATTTAAAATTTTTGTGTTACAAGCTAGATGTTATTGTGTTATAAAATTAATCTTTTAATTGAATACTTTTCAAAAATTTAATCCATAAAAAAAAGTCGAATTTAAAAATCAAGTTTAAAAACTTAAATGTTATTAAAACATTTTTTTTTTTTTTAATGTTGAAAAGTTCGAGATGAAACGGAAAATTTCTCTTTTGACCAAAAATATTGCAGAAAAGGATTTTAGCCTAAAAGAATACGTTTAGTCCATGAGACCGCTAAAAATTTTTTTGATATACTCAAAAGTTCGAGATATCAAGTATTCGAGATATCGAGAGTTGATTGTAGACCCAACAATAAATCCTTTGGGTACTCCACTATTAACAGTAACTAATTGGATTTGAATTCTACCATAACTACTTTTTGCTTTTAATTAGATAAAAATCTCCTAGGCCGGCGCGAGTAAGTTTTTGGGATACTACATCAAAGAGTTTTGCAAAATCAAAAAACATAATGTCATTGCACAATTTTCTGGACACAACAATTGTTATATAATCCATACCTTTAAGTATACTCGTTGTACAAGATTTGTTTTTAAGTATCCTCGTTGTACAAGATTTGTTCTGAAGATAAAACCTTGATGATGAATAAAGATCAAAATATTATTGTTATAGTCAATATTTCTTTTTTGGCAACCTTTTCAATTCCAAGGCAAGATTTAAATTGATTGTTTAAAATGTTTACAATATCCGCACTTTTTTTTTTTTTTATAAAAGATCTACATCAAAATTTATTATATTATTTAATATGTTATGTTATTCTTTATCTTTTTCTTTCTGTTGATTTATACAAAAAGTTTTTTGTCGCGAGATAAATTTTCTTCAAATATCCTTATACTTGTTTTCATTAGTTAATTTTTATTTGATTGTACTTAGACTTTATATTTATATTTTTCGTTGTTTTAGCTGCGATAATTTTAACATTTCATACGTAATGGGAAATGATAGCGATTTTCTAGCGATTTTTTTTTTCTTATTTTATTTTTTGCAAATGTCTTTAAGATCTTTAAAAATTCGATTTTTAGTGTTAAGTCTATTATAACTATGAAAATAATTAAACTTTAAACATTGCGATTTTGTAGCAATGTGTCACTAGCTACATATCGTAGCTTTGTAGCTAGCTACAAAATGTCTACAAATCTATAGCTGGTTGATAGCTGCATATCAAAATTTTTTAAACAACGATTTTATTACGATATGACGCTAGGTACAATAGCCAGTGGATCTTTAGCTTATTAAGCTAACTGTTCTCGTAGCCAAATCGCTGTCTTTATCTTTAAAAATATTGATAGCTTTTCGCTAGCTTAAAAAAGCTAGCGATCGTCGTGGCCAAATCGCTGTCTTTATCGTAACAATTATAGCTAGCTATTCGTTAGCCGATTTCCCACCGGGTATATGGGATTTTTTAAATAGTTTTTTGAATGTTTAGGTTTGATGACACGTGTTATCAAACCTAAAACATCTAGATAATTCAAATATATGGTATATTTCTCTAAAATTTGTTTATATATATATATATATATATATATATATATATACACACACATATATATATACACACACATATATATATATATATATATATATATATATATATATATATATATATATATATATATATATATATATATATATATATATATATATATATATATATATATATATAAACAAATTTTAGAGAAATATATCGTATATCAGTTTGTTTTATTAAAATTTCATTCCAACTGAGTTTTTATTCTATTTAGAATCACCAGCTATTTGTGGGAAAGCTTTCTGAACATTATTTACAAAAAGAAATTTTGTCTTTAACAATTTAAAAGCTGAATCAAAACGGTATTAATTGCACGCAGAATAGATAAATCAGATATTGTCAGTTAAAAAATAAAAAACAAATCCAAAATAAAATCTTTTGGAGCGCCTTAACTATATAATAAAAGTGTTAAATGATAAACTATTAATAACGTATTTTACTTTTACGAATAAAACTTTTTCAAATAAAGGTGGTAATATTGTGGTATGTATTATAAATAACATTTAAACTTATATATAAATATATATAAATAACATTTAAACTTCAATTTATTGTTGCATCTTTCTATAATCAAATAATTTAAGACTGTCAAAGCGTTTTATTGATGTCACACAAGGCGAGTAATCAACGTATTTAAATGTAAATTAAAATTTAAACTGTTTATTGTTCATGGAGTATGTACATTTGTACTATTTAATTTGTTACTTTTTTTTATACTAATCTTAATAAAAGAAATGACGCTGCAATTTTTTTCATTTATTTATTGCAATAAGTAAAAATACAATTGAAAGCAATAGCCGAAAAGTCGAGGCTCAAACTCAGTTATAACTGTGAAACTGCAAAAATGTTTTATTCTTTTTATAGTAAAAAAGAATAAAACATTTTCGCATTTAGACAGCGAAAATGTTTTATTCTTTTTCATTCTCCCTTAAATGTGCGAAGTGAGACTGGATAAAGCAGGATGTTATCCCGCCACCTTTTTATAACGTATAAACCAAGCTCCCATCTTTTTATATCACTCTTAATATAATAATTATTAAATAGGATGATAGTTTATTTAGTTTATAGTTATCCCCTTTTTAATCTTATTTTAAAAAGTATATAAATTTACTGTTAATAAAAAGAAGATTTGCTTTATTTTAATATAAGTTTCTCGTTTAAAATCCAGTGGCGCAAAACTCAGCGGTCTAAAACTTGTTAGTATTTTTAAGTTTTAGGGTGTTTTTTTTTAGATATTTGACATATTTAGTATTTTTTTCTTTATCAACTTTACAAACATTTATAGTTGTTAAAAATAAAAATTAATTTTTTTATAATCACAACCAGCCATACAGAGAGATACATTTTTATATTTGGAACAAAATGTAATTTTTGTTAACAAAAATATCAAAAATGCCCCCAAAGTATTTACCTTTTAGAAAGACTTCTATTAAAATCCAAACCAAAGTACTCACTGCTGCACGCATTCTTAATGTAACACAGAGTTAAAAACTTATAATAAACATACTCTCCTTTTTTATATTAAAGTTAATTGGATTATATAAAATAATGCGGAGCCTGCGAATGATTTTTAAATTTAATGTTATTTACAGGTTATAACCCACATATTTTGAAACAATGGTTGCTAACCGTTTATTTCTAAAACCTTTTAAAAAGCAATCATATGCTAAATTATTATTAATCCCTTTTTCTTTTTAATTTAAAGATATACTGATTAAGAATCTTCAATTTAGAACTACTATCGATTTTGTTCTATTATAAACATGGTTAAGAACCTAAATATTTGGAAGCAATTGTTGATAATCGTTTATTTCTAAACTGTGTTGAAAGCAATTTAAATTATTACCAATTCCTTTTTTTTTTTTACATTTAGAACAATATCATTCAACTCTACTATCAACATAGTTTAAAACCCTTCCATTTTTTTTTAATCAACACTGCTGTGGAAATTTTTATTTTTATATACTAAATAAAACGTAGATGTTTAAAACACAAAATTAATATTCTCTTTAGAATGCTTGGGAGGAAAGTATATGTATTAATGCTATAAAGTATTATAGGAATGGAAACAATGAATACTATTCACGTTGTTTTGCTGTCATCGCACAAATCCTGAGTTAAATCAAAATGTAATTTAATAACTACAAATAACTCTAAAACACATCAACCGATACAAAATATTTAAATTTCAAAATCATTTATTTTAACCGTTACATGGGGGTAGACGTACTTTGTAAAGTAAACTTAATATAGATATTAACTCTATTTGTTATAAAATGTCCTAGAGTAAAAATATAAAAGTAGAAACAAATTTACTTCTATTTTCATTTAATTAATTATAAAAAGTACCATCATACTACTTATGGCATCATCATACTACTTATTGCATCATTATAGTACTTTTTGTTGTCCTCAAATAGATGTCTCTTATATATTCAAAGAAATAAAGTGCAAAATTAATTTACCTGAACTGAATGAAAAACAAAAAAGCAGCTAAATAGCTGCTTTTACAAAAGTTTTTTCTTAACTAGAGACAATATAAAAGCCAAATAATTTTACCAAGAAATAAAACAATAAAAGAAAATACAGATGATCTTTGATTTTTAGATGATCTTTTGACTTATGCAATTTTTACAACTTTAAAACATTTCTGTTCAAGAAAGATTTTACACGAGATTTCAGCAGATTTTAACTTTTTTAACTCATAGTAATGAGTATTTAGCAAAGTTTTACATTTGCCATAAAAGACATAAAAATTCTTCATTGCATGAAGAACAAAATGCTACAAACTTATTTTGTTTAGTAATTCATGCAACGGACAAAATAAAAATCATACATTATTAAGATTTAAAAAAAAATTTATTGGATAGCTTTAAAAACATCACACATTGTTTATTTATTTTTTTAAATTTTGATTAAGTGCTCTGAGAGGTCCTTACCGCCTTGTCACAGAGCGTCTATGAGTCGATAAGCATTTAACTAGGATGTTTACGACGTTAAGTCTAGGAAATCAAATCATTTTTTTTTTTTTAAAGTTGATTAAGGTGCCCCAAGAAGTCCTTACGGTCTTATCATAGAGCACCGCGGAAGAGCATTTAATAGGAAGTTTACACCTCCTTCCCAACCGATGTCGCAAAACTTGCCCAGAGGTGGGGTTTGAGCCACGGATCTTTCGTTTCTGAGGCAAGAGCGCTACCACTTCGCCACGGCTGTTTTAAGATTCTAAAACAAACGTTCTAACTACTGCATTTCCAAATTAAGGCTCATTCAGTTTTACGCTGCAAATTTAGAGGTTGAAACATAAAAAGGTTTATCCACCAATTTGATCAAATTTACAATGCTGAGCATTGAACTATATAAGTTGACTGTTCAGATGACTGATGCCACATATATCCTCTACCTAAAGTCAAATGGCCAAATTCCAAAACAGAAGATTGTACTACAAATCTTGAAGAGATTTATATACTTACCAATTATGCATTGATTATCGTGCACCCCATCTTTGGAACAAAATTGTTTTGCCTAATTTTAATTTGGATCTACCTACTTCTTTGCATCTTTTTAAAGTTAAGCTGAAAAATCTTTTTCTCTCCCGTATTATCAAAATTTGACAATAATATTTATATTATGGAAATATTTATTAAACTTTATTATATATACTACAAAGTGATACATGTATGTATATTTTATTTTTATTTTGTTGTACTTATAGTTACTTTATAATATAATATTTTGTTTACTCTAGTATAAGGTTCTGACGATAAGATCTTAGTGATCTTCTTTCAGATACCTAGTTTTTCAAATGTTAGTAGTATTTGCTTACTTTATAATTTGTATTAATTTTTTATTTACTCTCATTATATTGTAAAAACGAACTAACAAATGTAAACTAAAATGATAAAAAAAAAAAAAAATACTTTACATTTTAATTCATTCTTTAAAATTTTCTATTTCATTTTCAAAAACAAACTTTGTAAGTTCAATAAAGTGAGGTATTTTTTTTTGATGTTAATGAAAAAAATACATTTTAATACCTAATGTTTAGAGCAAACATAAAGTATTTTCTCTTTGAATATATGATAAATAATAAATGTATAAATAGCGAAATAAAAAATGAGGTAAACAAAAGGAAGCAAAAAAGTAAAATAAACAACGATAAATAAAATTACTTTTCGATATGTAAATAGTTGCTGGTCATCGGCTAGCCACTTTTAGTGGCTGCCACTAATGGTCCACTAAGTAACCGATGAGAAAAACTCCAGTGGACTGTCTAAAACGTCTACATAGACCCACTAAAATTCCGCTATAGAATATTTGTTGGGACTGTATATAGTTTAGTTTAGTATATTTTTGTGATCAATAGTTTAAAATATCTACAACAATCTGTAATAAATTTAAAAAACTTTTGAAAAATCATAATTGTTCGCTGTTTTTAAATTACCAACGAAGATGAGCTGCATCAGGCACCTCTATACTAACAGTCTTAAGATAACTCGTGCACATCTGCGACACAAGTACCATAATTTAAGAACATAATAGACTACTAGAAACATTTGTGAAGAGAGTTTATTTTCAGTTACTATTAAAAATTTTCTTTTAACTGATTTAAATGTTCATCTAATTGTTTTTTGACATTATTTACCAAAGCCGCCTCTACTATTTAATTGCTATTTGCGGCATGGTATTCCACTGCAAAACAGCACGGTTCGTAAAAAATTTCTCTCCTGGCATGCAATTGAGTATTCTTTTCTGTGCAAGTATTTGATTATGACCAAGCATAATATACTTTGACGACGAAGGACGATTGAATTGCATGTGGAAGTTTGTTTTATCGATTTCACGAATAAACCTGAACATCATAATTAAATCACCTCTTATTCTTTATTATTCAGATGTCATAAGACCTAACATGACTCTTTGCTTCTCGGCGATGCGGTGTTTAATCTTGGAAATTGTTTTTATAGCACGTTTTTAAACTTTTTCTAGCGCTTCTTTGTCTACGCGTCGTTACAGTGACGCCGCTTGGATAGCGTACTCTGGGCGAGGACGAGCATACGTGGTGTACAGTTCTTTCAACATTGAAAAATTACGGCTGCAATAAGTTTTTTTCAGTCTCTCTAAGGAAACTTGAGCATTAAGTTATAGATCATCCGAGATAAGAAATCCAAGATCTCTCTTTAAATAAGTAACTTTGATCAAGTTATATTATGGGGAGAAATAATAAACCGTCATTAAAGTAGCCCCCTTAGCCCTTCTACTTTCCCCCTCCTCCTCGCCTACGCCGTCCCTGATTTGAACAAAAATACTGTTTTAGACTATAAATTTAACAATTTTAATTAATGCAAACAAAGTTCATTTACCGGTCAGTTCATATATCTGATTTCCTACTGTAAAAGTTTGAGAAGTTAAGGTTTAGATTTTCCTAAAACCCTTATGAGAACACTACTTTTTCTTAACTCGTTAATATTGTATTACCTCCTAACTGCTAATAAAATATATTATATAACGCTTTTATATATAGTTCACACCACATCATACTTTCAATATAAGCGTCTTTAAAAAAAGTGTTTTTCAAAGGGGACTTTTTAAATCTTTTATAATCTAATTTACAGTATTTTACCATAAAACTGTCCATCACAACTGCCTAAATAAGACATAATAATTTTATTCGTAATCGTGTAGAATTACAAAAAAGTATTCAATTAGTTAGAATGTAAAAAAAAATAACTTCAAATATAGATAAAACTTTTTTTAATCACTTGCTAATGTTAAATGTTTTTACCCTCAAATTCTGCCAGAAATTGTTATTGATAAAGTTCAAACAAAATCTTCTTTGGTGAATCAGTTTTTTGCTGTTTTTTTTTAAATAAAAACATCACTTAGAAGTAACATATTAATCAAATTTGCGCCGAAGTTTCTAAAAGTAGTCGTAAAACAGGTCTACAACTAATGTTTACAGTTAGATAAACTATGCAATTATGAACTGGAAAAGCACAGGTTTTGTTAGAAACACGTTGTTTAAATTGCTTTGCAGTTTAGTTTTTGCATACAGTAGTTTTTTTTTTAAATAATAAGTATAAACAAACGTCATCAGTAATGATGACTACATTTATACTAATACATTAATTTGTTAATCTAGTTAAAAGTATGAACTGCACATTCTAACATCCAGTGCAAGTTCTGTCCGCTTTCTCTATGCTATCTAACTCGACTTCTTCTGAATTTCACTCTAACTTACTTTTTTCTTTTTAAACTAACTTACTCTTGGTCTGCGATGAGGGTGATAATGCTTTTTAGAGAGCTGAATTTGTCTTTGCTGATCCGGGTATGTGACCTTTATTTGGCAATTAGCCGGAGGAGGATAAACCACAATACCTTACAAAAGCATTTTATAAAAATGAAAAAAACTCAATGTATTCAAACTAAATGAGAAAACTCAATGTATACAAACTAAATAGGTTTAATGTCTTATGTTTCTTTTAAATTTGTGAAAAACTGTTTATGCTCATTAGTTTTTT